TCTTCTCCAACCACTGATGTAGTCTCTCTTCTTGTTTATTTTCTTTCTCCTCCAACCACTGCTGTAGACATTTCTTCTTGTTTATTTTCTTTCTCCTCCAACCACTCTTGTTTATTTTGCTGTTCGAGCTGCCACTGTAGCAGGTTTTCTTGCCACTGCTATTGCCTCTCTTCTTGTTTCTTTTCTTTTTCCTCCAACCACTGCTGTAGTCTCTCTTCTTGTTTATTTTCTTTCTCCTCCAACCACTGCTGTAGTCTCTTTTCTTGTTTATTTTCTCGTTTTTCTTGTTTCTTTTGCAGTTCTTGTATTGCTGCCATCAAATTTGCTAAGTCGTAGTTTGATTTGTCCCTTCTCGTTTCCATCTTTTTTCTTTCTTTTTTTCTGTCTCACTCTCTGACACCAGTTTGTTACTTCTCTGCTTGTTTGTTAATTTCTGGTATAAATTCTTTCTCGATACAAATTTTAGTAATACACAGAATTTCCACAGTCACATTAAACTTAACAACCTTTATAACACATGCTATAAATCACAGTGATTCACACACTTTACTTACGGTGCCTACTGTTTGCTTGACTCAATTATCTATAGCTTCAATCTATCTATCTCTGCAGTCTATCTGCCTATCTCACTGGCTTTCTTTGCCAGGCTTATATGATAAAAAAAAGAGGGCGTCCAGCAAACACTCGGACATTCGCAGGTTCCACGATAATTCTAGAAACTCCAGCACGCATGCACCCAGCGTCATGTGACTTCCGCTGTCATAACAAATATTTATTTTATATGAAAGATGTTTACAGGTAACTATAAATGGAAATGAATTAATTTTTAAAAATATATCTACAAAAAACATTTTTAACATTTTCTGGTATCAAGTATTCACAAAGAGAAACAAAATAACTAACAAAGAAAAAATCATGCTCTCTTTTTTTTGCACTAAACAATTATAGAAAAACACATATCCAAAAGGAAATATTTTTTCTATTGGTTATTTAGGTAATTTGCAATGAATCAATAATCCATGGTTAACAGTTTTTATACATTTCTATTATGGTATGATTGGTTGATTTATCTCTATACTTGGCTTACCAATCAGTAGAATAACACAATATACTAGCTTATATAATTAACTACTTAGGAAACATAACTGCAGAAATGAATAACACGTGTATGGAAAGTTAGCTTTAGATCAAATTGGATGCAAATTTTATTAGGCTGTCTTTTTTATTGTCCTGGACAAACAAATGAAAGAATATCTAGATAATGCAAGAATGAAACATTGCTGCATCTTACAGTGTGAATTACTAATGTTATATATTTAGGAAAGTTCAACTCGAGTATATATAAATGTTATGACACCGATAGTCACGTGACGCTAGTAACACGTCATGATATTCTAGAAGGATCATGTCTGTTCGTGGCAACTCTAGTATTCTCATCAAGCCCTCTATTTTTTTATATATATAAGCTGGCAAATGAAGTGATGGCATGAAAGATAATAGCAGACAGAGAGATTGAAGATATAGACAGACAATTGAGTCAAGCGCGATAGTAAGTAAAGTGCACGAATCGTGCACGAAGCGTGTGTTTAAGTTAAAGTGACTGTGGAAATTAAGTGTATTGCAAAGTTGATTTGAGAAAGATTAAACTAGTTTTATTTAAGAAAGGACTTGTATCACTGAAGTTTATCTGAAAGAATTTTTTTGGAAAATTAACAAACGAACACAGAGATGTAACATAAACATGAAAAATTCACTGTAATTTCTACCAATAAAAATTGAAAAAAATTAAAATGATTTTTTGAAAATTTTTAGTATATAACAATATACTAGAAATAGCCTTCTGAGTGACTGTGCATAAAAGGTATGAAATACAAAAAAATGTTAACTGTTCAAACACTGACTACAAATTATTAGGTACAAACAAAAACTTGATTATCTACCTTGAAAACAGCCAGTCTCTCACTAGCTTCTTGTGGTGGGATACCATATTCCATAGGGCCAGTCTAAAAAAGTATAAATGACATTTAATTATTTGTGATTGCAAAAAAAAATACTTTTCTAGAATACTTTTATTACAAAATATTTGTTATTGTGATTTCTGTCAAAATCAGTACAAGGATATTTTTAGAAATTTTGCAATTTACTTAAAAGGAAAATAAATTTGCTTTCAGTTACTAAGAAAAGCATATTTTGGGATACAAAATATTTCATATATATTAAACATTGATTAGAAATTTCTCTTGATGTCATATTAAAGATTGAATCTAAAAGTTTTCTGGTCATATCTTAAAGAACATACAAGTGTTTCTGAAAAGTAATAATAAATACAAAATTGCCACAAATATTTTATACATAATGTCAAAATTAATTAATGTGGCAGTGTACAGCTATGACGCTGGTAAATTTATGTATCTGTCGTATGGATCAGTAAAATGACAGGTTAGTATTTTCCTCCAATTGATTTCTTCTGTCATAGCTAAAATTACATTATTGCTGAAATATTTCAGTAACTATTCATGCAACACATTACTCTTCACAGTTAGATGCAATTACATTCCAGTGACTTTGTAGTAAAGTTTACATATTTGTATCTCTTCTGCTAACACCAATCTAATATAACTCAAATTAATAAATTGATGACTACTAAAAAACTACATTCCTGCAATTACATACTTTTTCATACTCTTCCTCATACGTTTTGACACTCTGCTTGAACACTTCAACTTTCTCAATCAGTTCTTTTCTAAATTTGGGCTGGATTTCATTCAGCTTGTTTTGGACCAAAGTCTATTAAACAGCCAAAAGTTAAAAATAAATTTGCAATCCTAAATAAAAATGAAATTGAGATGAGTATGAATTTATTTGATGCCAGTTTACAATTTGTTTAATTATATCATTCAAACCAAAATTTATGCATATAGTATCACATGTAAAATATAGTTATCAATTTAATAGGAACCAGTTAAATATCTAACAATAAAGTACGTTGTTAAAATATAACTACGGCAAAAATCACTTCCTTTTTTGTATGTTAAAAAATATAATTTGTTTCACATACAAGTAGTAAAGGTATATCCAAAACTGGTCCTTAAGCATATATTTTAAACTGACTCCAACATGTATACATGTATTTTGCCAAAAATGTTGTTACACTGAATAAAACAATTAAAAAACATGTAAGTTAAAGAATACAATAATGAATTAGCTTTATCTCTCATGATATTTGATTTTTTTAACAACACATGACAGAGCATTAATGATTGAAAAATTTTAACACACTGCATTTGTAAGTATTTATAAGAGAGCAGACTTACTGATTGAGAAAGCAATTTAAGAAAAGAGTATCTCAGAGTATCAACCTGCTCTGTTTCTTCCTTGCTAAAAGGCAGTTGAAACTTAACCAGCATTGAGTAAGCTTCCTAAAAATATTAACACTAGATGTTAGAAATTCTCATGAGGTTAATAAATGCTTTAAGATTTTGACACCACCTTTACTTAGAGAAGAAATTCTATTTTGATAATGTTCACAATGGCTAAGGTATCCTTAATGATTTTACAATCAATATAATAGATTTTTGGATTTCAAGACTTGCCCAGGTCTGATATGGTAGATAGTTTACGAATATAGCTAGTGTTTTATGCATATGCAATTGTACAAGACATAATGCATCCTAGATAAACATGACAAAAGATTTATATTAGAAATATATGACAAAAAGATTGAAGTTTCTGAATACTTTACTCAAAACAAATTACCACAGGTCACATAATTTTTAATTTGAGAGAAAATAAGATATTAACCTTCCTTTATTTATTCAGGAAGTTATCAATTCTTCTTTAAATTTTTGTAAAGTACTAGCCTAAACTACAGCTAAAAGTCATTTTTTAATAACTCAACACTCTGAAAACAGCTATATATATTAAAGAGTTTAATGCTATTTGCATACTTTACTAATTGTGCTTCTATCACTAACAATAAGAAATTGACACATTATGAAAAGTTTTGAAAATATAAGTATATACCAAGTCTACACCTATTACATCATCCAGATAATAAACTAGTAACAAAACAAGGAATTAATAGGAAAAGGCATAATAATCTCATGTAAAAAAGTATAATTTATTTGTGACTGATAGTATAAATTGTTTCTGTAATGAGATAATCTTAGTAGCCTCAATAAAACACAAAAATGGCATAACAATTCACGTTTCACACCAATATCTATTGCACCATTAATTGTGTGGTATTCTCAGATGCATTGATCTCTCCTTAAGAGTAACTGAATAAGAGCCATAGAATAACATGAGGTTTCCACAGAAAATGCATTACAGCACGATTCTGAATTCTCTTAACCTAAAATGAGTTTGAAGTAAAGAAAGATACTGGACACATTGTACAACATAGTGAAACAATCTTTATTTCAGACAAATACAATCAAAGGCAAAAAACCAGTATATTGTGTGATGTCTATCTTTTAGGAGTTCTCTCAGTGTGTTTAAAACAAATAGGTATCTGTGTTAAAATATCTCATATAATTTTATTCCAGGCTGAGTAAACATAGCACTATATACATAAAAAAATAATGCCATTCTTCTCAGGGTACAGGTTCTACCCATGGGATTGATGTATGCTAGAAAAGGTCACTCTATTTCTATATAGTATGCTCTAATTAACAAGAATATTTCTCATGAGAAAGTGCATGTGACACCCTAATCAAATGACCCAGTTCAGCAGTTAACTAGGATGAGAGTCTATAAGAGGCTCCCTTATAGACGTTCTATATTAAGTACATATATACAGTATGTAAAGAAATTAAAACAAATATATATTGAATAATGGGATAGGAAACAGTATATGTTTGCATACCACATTTTACCTCTTTTTTTTACCTTCAGGGTGTCCCAGATGTTTTTATCTTTAAACCTAAAAAAGCAATTAAATCATCTCACGTGTTGATCAAGAAGTTGGTGCAACTTGCTCTCTCCCTGGCAAAACACCTACCAATGATATATACAAACAAAAACAAGTAACAAACTTTACACTAAAATCATGAACTGTGACTGAAAAATAAAAGTGGAGCATTATATACTAGAATTACCACTTTAAAATAACATTAACAATCATACAAAAGCAATCCTCACAAAACAGAAAGTTTAAAGTTCAAGACTAGCTTATAAAATAGTTAAAATAAGACAATCTCTCTGAATATTACATTAAAAAACACTTTTAAGATTAAATACAAAACATTCAAAATAATAATGAAAAAATTTTACATGAAAATTCATTATACAATAAGATAAAATACAAAATAAACCTTTTCTAAAACATATGTGTATGTACAGATTTATACATGAAAAATGACACATTACAATATATTTTATATATATATATATATATATACATATTCTTTACTATTAATCACTAGTGATGATCAAACACATACATGAGAAAAACCCTTCAACATTACAAGAAATATAATAAAATACAAATATAATAAAAACCTTTAATAAAATATAAAACCCTTTACAAAACAAGACATAATATTATATGAAACTCTCTATATCAAAAATGAAACACCTATCAAACTATATACATATATACACAAGGGCATTATGCACAACATATTATACCATAACAAAAAAATGTATATACATACAACATTGAAAATCAGCAAAAAAATCTATGATGACTGTAATAATAATACATAAAGAAGGTATAATCACTATATGTATTTGTACACTGTATATACATCATAATTATCAATAACATTTAAATATACTATACTCTAATGATATTTATACTAAAGAAAATGATAAACAAATAATAAGAAATACATATATGTATTACTTTAGGCATTTAAAGCCTACTACCTTTACTGAAGCCCTGAAAGCAGAACCTGCAACACAGCAGTTGAATAGCATCTAGTTGTGATAATCTGATATACAATCTCTAGCAAAAGCATCCTGAGTCTGCACTAGCTCAGCCCAAAGACAGCGTACTTCTTCCTACACTTCAGGAGATGGTCTTCTGTCTACTTATAAAGTGCCCAGACCTCTCTATACACCTGATTGTTTGTTTCTGGAAGTGGTGCTTTAAGGTTGGTATATGCTGAAGTACAATAGTTTCTTCTATTTTGGTCAGGGGCAAGGCATACAGATCTATTTTTCCTGGCTGTGGAGTTTGGGTTCAGCACTCTTTGGTGGGTAAAGGAGATGTAATGACTGACAATGCTCCCACATTGTTTTCAGACATTTCATGAACTTTCTGCATCGATGGCTGGACCTGGGCAGTGGATTCTGATGTGGTAGAACCTTCCTGAGGCTTGAATTAGCTCTGCAATGACCCAACCTGAGTTCAGGAAGGTCTTTATGGATTTTGGGCTGTCATGCTTATTTCTGTGCTCAAAACTTTCCACTAGGAAAAGTGTAAAACTATTGCTGTGGTAAAGTGACATTTCTAAAGGCCTACATGTAATCATGTATATCCTGCTTGTAAAGAATGTATCTCTTTCACCTGTTGACATCCCAGTTCACTAGGCTTTATCATGCTTGATCTACATATGGTTGTGCTCTCCACTATTATCATTGCCATGAAAACAGTATGCAATTACCCTGGAACCAAGCCACATTCCTTTAACTACTGTGTAGTTGTTATCCAAACAGAACCTTGGTCCAATAACATAGAAATTGGAATTGAGACTATAAACAATGTCTCAATAGGTATAGCACCATAACATGATAATATCTAAAAGCTGTTAAACTCAACACATTTTTTTCAACGTAACAAAGTAGTCACCAGCCAAATTCACCAAACTAACTTTTCAACTAAAATTCTTTTAGCATGGATAAATATTCATGCTGACACTACAGTATATATCAATATACACTAAGATCAACCTAGCCTAATTACAGTATTCTGTCATAAAACACTTTTACTGTCCTAAACAGTTGGCAACTCCATATGTCCACTTTAAATAACATTTGGTGCACAAACCATGTGGATTGGCCACTGCAGAACTTACAGACTGCAGCACATCTGTTCTAGGGAGCTTACCATACATTACTTCCAAAGGAAGTAGTATTTTTCCAACAAAACAATATACTCACTTTAGTAGGCATAACAGGAAAATACACATATGCAAATACATTGAAACTAAGACTATTCCTGTTAGAATAATAACAACCTGATTTAATTCTGTGCTGAGAAAGAATATAAAGGAAGTATACATGCTTCAAGACTACTGGGTGATAGTCAAGCAATTATCACAAGATATCTAATGGATATCTATCCATAAAGCAACTCTAACAAACAGTTTAAAAAGTAAGGGCTACAAGGCCCTTTCAGTCCCATCCATTTTGTGATCATATTCATGCTGACACTACAGTATGTATCAATATACACTAAGATCAACCTAGCCTAATTACAGTATTCTGTCATAAAACACTTTTATTGTCCTAAACAGTTGGCAACTTTGTGATAATCAAGTGGCAATCATACAGTGGAGTGCAAGCATTTTATAATGAAACACAACATGATAGCTTGGAAAGCAAGGAATGCCACTTCCTTCCAGAAATTGATCTCACAATGAGTGACTGTCCTAACTGTTGGCATGGTAGTTAGTTCCTAGTTCCTCTTTTCCAGATGCTTCCTCATTTGATACAGCCAGATATGTACATTCAGCATCTTCCCCTCATCAGCTAAGCTTAGATGATATAAAACAGTACCCTCATCATCCTCTTACTTGTCATTCTCAAACCCTAATTTCTGGTAAAGCTGGTGCATGAGAGTTCATCAGTAACATAAAGTTGTAGTTTGTTGAAGTGTTCAACATACTTACATATTATACAAAACCACCATATCTTGCATTTCAATAGGATAATTTTTGTGTGGAAATGCAAATAACCTATTTCATAGGAAAAACTGACCTATAATTCCTACAGTACTCTATACCCTAAGGTACTAATGCCAGAACCAAGCTCAGGGGTAACTACTTTCACTCTTTGGCTGACTTTAGTTACATATAGTTGGAGATGTGCCAATACAATCACATCTAGTGTATCTTTATTTGCTAAAATGAAGTCAGAGTTAACCATCTAACATCATGTAGGGTTCAAGATCAGTCAAAATGACTGACCTTATAATCATGAAACTATACATACTATAATTGTTAATGTAAGCAATATATCTTCATGACAATTGACAGGCTTTTAGTAAATATAATAAGTCTGTTGTACACAAAAAAATCAGATTTTTTAATTAAGCATTCTTACTGAAGATTTGTCAGTCTAAGTGCAAAGTGATTTTCAGGTTAAAAATAAAAATGTATCTTTTCATCTTACAGTTTTTGTATTTCTTTTGCATAACCTCTAGAACTTCCTAAATGAATATCAAAAGTTTTTTTCGTTTAAACTTAATAGT